ACTCTTATTTTGGCCAATAGTGATGGTTTAAAGTAAAAATGCCTTGATGAAAGCACTTTTGGGTGAACTGTAAGACAAAATGTATTTGGAAACTTTCATGTGATGAAATACACCTTTGTGAACCTGAGATCTACTAAAACTCACCTTGAGAAATAATTGCAAATATGTGCCTTTTGATTTGATATTTTATGTAATGCAATGACATTCAGATGTTTTAAAGTGTGACTTACCGTAAGTGTCCAAATACTTTTTGGGGTCATTGCAGCTAGAACTGGAGTTTTTCCATTTATGCCATGTTGGTTAGGGTTTGAGATGTGGGGTGTGTTGTGTATCAGGATGTCCCATATACGGAAGTGAGAGGACTCCCTCTCCCAGTGCTGTGTCCCTAGAGGAAAGTGCTCAGTGCGGTCTGGGGTCATGAGAAAACTAGTGGGCGACTTTCCCAACTCTCTTCTTGGCCTATTGCATTCTTGCAAATACACACACACATATGCATAATGGCATTATAATCCATTTTTAAAAAGATGTGGCATATCCTCTTGGAGAGGCTTTTACATTACATGGCTTGTACAACCAGTTGTCTTTTGACGTGCCATTGTGTCTTTGTGTTGTCAAATTTTCTTTTGAGTGATTTATTTATTTTAAATTTTTTTTATTGGAAAAGATTATGATTCATTCAAGTCCTAGAGCAGCTTAGAACACCAGTGTTTTTGCATCCATGCATCATTCAATTTAACTTGATATGGTGTAGTGGCAGGTTGTCGTGCCGATGTGTCAGTTTAGTCTATACTGAGCTCATGCAGGGTGACGTTGTGTTGATGCATTTACACTGCTCTCTATCTGGTCTTACAGGAATCTGTGTAACAATTCATGACTATAGAGACACTGAGGTCAGACGCAGAGACTCCTTCCTGTCAACTCTTGAAGGCACGCACAGATTCTCACTCATACTAATATCTCTGTGGAAGAAACAGAAGGGCAGAGTTTAGCATGACGTGTTTCAGAGGGAACACCTATGTCTTTTTCACTAACAGCCTACAGTCCAGTTTAACCAAGCCATATTTAAATTAAGGCAAATTGCAATTTTTGGGGCATCTTTGCACCATTTCCTAATTTGCATAATTCCTTTAGTGAACGCTGAAACAACGCAGACAGCACGTGCAAATGAATGTCAGCGGGTGCAATTCATTTTTAGTGAATTTCCATTGTGTTTTGTAAAGGGGCTTGCATATCGTTATATGAAACCAATTAATTCAACATCATATTCATATTGCATTCCTATTACTATAATAACATTGATTCTCCTTACCTTGCAATCCAACAATTGTTTTTTTTTTTTGATAGCAGAGCATCAAAACTATTGACATGAAACTAAATGAATCCTGAAAATCTAGTTAATGCAACTCAGGAGAAGAGCAATCTTGGAGAGCTAGCTGAGCTTCTGTAGAGGAAGTGACAGAGTAATTACCACTGCTGAAATCCAGTGTAATCTCATGTGGCCGGTCAGGAATCATACAGTGCTGAAATGCAGTGACAGCAAAATACTGTCTGTCTTCAAATTGTCTTATTATACCTGGAGTTCTCCCTTTGCACTGTAAGAAATGTTTTAAAATCTTATCTTCATATGGTAGAATCTTAATTTTTATTCTAGTGAAAAATATTAGTTAACATTACTGAATTATTATACAACCTAGTACTAACTAAATCAGGAAACAGTAATTTTTAAGATTAAAAAAATATATATATTATTATTTATTTGAGAATTTTTCTCTTTAAAGCAGAAGCAGAGGCTTTGTGCCAGAACCTAGTGCAGTGCCTTGCTACATTGCTATTAGGCAGCTGCCTACTAAGGCAGCATATTAGCTTCATATATGACTGCTTTGGAATGCTCCATATTTTCAGCAGCTCCATGCAGCACATAAAAGGCTATTTGCATGGGAGACTGCAAGTGATCAGTTTCTCAAGGAATGGCCATTATTTAGTTATAGAAATAACTGTTGTATTTGACACTGCTCTCGAAAAAGTGTTTAGCACGTACTGCTACCTTAATGCCTATTGGCCTACTGAGAGGTCTGTTCTTGTTAAGCCTCAATCGCTAATCAAGAGTTTCTTTGGGTAAAATGGGTGACCTTGGGGGTCACAATGTGTTGTATAGCTCTCCTGCCCCCGAAAGAACACCTCTTTCTTCAGAGAAATAGCCTGACACAAATATGAGCAAGAAGAAAAATGTGGCTTGTTATGGAGAGAGTGCGAAAAGAGTGAGAAGCAGAAGTGAGCTGTCACTGAGGTTATGTCTACCTGTCATCCCATCAGCCATTAGAGGACAGAAAGCTTTACTTTACAGCTCATCAGCACTACTTCAACTCCTGTGGCCGGGTACAGCCTCAAAACCTCATTACTGTAAGAAAAAAAAAACACCCTGCACACAATCATTTATAACCTTTGAGAACAGTCATCTTCACATATAATTACATACTCATACTTCAGACTTGAACGGAAAGGTCCTGAACCTGTGTTTACATTCTGGTGACTATAACAATAATTTTGGTGCAGCTCTCATTATAAGCTGTAATTATAGACTCTCAGAGGGAGTGTTAGGATCATTGGCGCACACCAGTGTTTTGGAGAGCTAAGACTTCATTATGATAATGACAGCTCGGAGGTAAAGACCCTCTGTCTCGCTGGTTTTATCCTCCCATCGGGCTTTCAAAGACAAGACGCACACAGTCAGAGCTGTTCTCACCATCAACTAAAATGAGTGTGAGCATTGATTTAATTTGCATGTTGTTGTTTTAATTCTCCAGTCCATTCCATTTGTTCCCACTTCAAGACTTTGTGATTTACAGGAAAGATATTACTGTAATTCAATCAAGGGTGCCAGGAGGATGGGTTGATCCTGAATAACGCATTTAGTTTAGTCCAGTGTGATTTCCATGAATCCAAAGCAAACATTAGATTTGGTCTCTAAAGTTACACTGACCGAGCGGCCATTGCCCCACACGAGCAGTAACGCTCTAAATAGGGAGGGGATTGATTCGGGGGCCAAGTAGTGGTTCAACTGATCACAAATCACACGGTTCGGATCATATTACGGTTTTTGAGCCAAGGATCGGATCGTTTTTCGGATCAGCAAGAAAAAAAAATCTATGTAACTTTGCTTTCCAAAAGTACGATACCACAGCAAAAACTCTTAGCCTAAGAAAGCTCAAACATTATTAAAGAGACAAGTGAACAGCCAGTAAAAATAAGTACAAATATGCTACACAAATTACAAGCATAGATAAATACAACAGAACAATGTTACAAAAAAGGTCGGTAGTATTCAGATACAGAAATGTAATAATTAAGTGTAAAATAAAACTGCATAGTGTTCACTGTATAAATTAAAAAATAGATTCATCTTTGTCAAAAATGTGTTTTGTGGTTTGATGAGCATAATGACAGCAGCAGGTATTATTAGGCTGCTGTCCCTTTAAGACCTGATGCATGGATTCAATATAGCCTAATGATACACATCCGATTTCTTTCTCAGCTGTTCTCGTTCACTTAAGACACAACACACTGCATTTGCCACAATGATTGTCGAGATCGGTATTTTGTCATACGTTTATGTGTATATGCATCTGTTCAAATGCAAGGAGTGAATGAGATAGGAAAGATGGTTCAGTTCGGTGTTTGCGAGCAGTCAAACGTGCCTCTCTGCATGTGCGAGCTTCATGTTTGTGCGGCTGTGATAGAAAACAGCGCGCAAGTAACAAATCGAGTTCCATTTCGGCTTTTCTTTCACTAGAATGGTTTAAAATCGCTTGCGTGTGTAAACACATACAATTGATAAACTTTCATTCTATTATGGTTAAATTTTGCAATTAATCCACGGATCACATGCGTGCCGAACCGTGCAAGTAGGGCTCGGTGCAGCCTGCGGTGGACATCCAACCCTGCCCACATCCACGTGTGATGTCGGAAGTCATGCCCATCGCCGATACAACCTTGCCCACATCCGAGTGTGACGTTGGAAGCCACGCCCATATCAAATACGTCACCTTGTGATTTCCCCATCCCCGTACCGGGGAAACCAGGAAGTATGTCGAAGCAATTTATGGAAGTTTAGGGGATCTAAATAAAATAATGTTGTCCTTCGTTTTACTAATACACGTTTTCTTATTTTTGTAAAGGATGTCTAGGCTAAAATGGCACAACTTAAATCTAATATATGTTTAATATGTCTAATATGCGGAGCTGATTTCGTAATCACAACAGCCTGTAAAATGCTTGCATTGATTAAAGTAGGCTAATTGTTAATTAAAACTTTTAAACCTTACCTTTTTATTTATGTAATGAGATAAATTCACATTTATTACGATCGATTTTGACCTACCCAAGGCAAAATTAAAATGCCTTGGGTAGGGGATTATAGAAATTAATACTTTTATTTAGCAAGGATGCTTTAAATTGATCAAAAGGGATGATAAAGACATTTATAAAGTTACAAAAGATTTCTATTTCAGATAAATGCTGTTCTTCTGAACTTTCTATTCATCAAAGAATCTGAAAAAAATTATACTCAGCTGTTTTCAACAACAACAGCAATAATAATAATAATAATAATAATAATAAATGTTTTTTGAGAAGCAAATCAGAATATTAGAATGATTTCTGACGGATCATGTGGATCATGTAAGTCACCTTTGAAATCACAGGAATAAATTACATTTTAATAGAAATATAGAAAACCGTTTCAAATAGAAAACAGTTATTTTAAATAGCAAAAATATTTTAAAATTGTACTGTTTTTGCTGTACTTTGGATCAAATAAATGCAGGCTTGGTGAGAAGAAGAGATTTCTTTAAAACCTTAAAACATTAAAAATCTTACTGTTCAAAAACTTTTGACTGGTAGTGTTTAACAAAATATATGTTCCAACTATTATAAAGTCTGAGCAGCTGAATGAACAGTTGAATGATCAGGTAAACAGTTCTTGACATGCAGTACACACACATACATACATACATACATGCACACATAGACTACACAGAGAGAATCCTTGCTCTAATAGATTATTCACAGAACATGGCATGGACCTTCAGGCCTTGTTCATCAAGACAATTTGATATGTCCAGCTCCTCCAGATACTCAAAGATGAATAAAAAGACATCTTTTGCTTCATTCGATTCTCCCCCCAGGTAGTCTTTGATGGCATTCTGTTGATTTTTACTGTCCATCTGGAGAAAGGCAGGCCCTGTCACCTCCCCACGGAATAACTCACGGTGACTCTGTATCCAGCACTACACTGGACCTTATGTCCCTTACAGACTTCCACTTTATGTCCTCTTGGCGCTCCTGTTAAAAATAGAGAATATGTGTGTGTTGTGGGGTATGTGTCCACTAAAAATTATTTACCTCATAATTTTCCTAATCATTCTACATACAAACATATTTAAGATTTTAAACCACAAAAATCAATCAATATCTAGAGAAATGCTCCCACCATACCTCCATGCACCACTGCATGGCTTATGTGGTCCTCCAAGTGAAGTGTAATGAGTAATATGTCCTCTTGGCGCTCCTGTTAAAAATAGAGAATGCATACGTGTTGGGGGTATATGTGTCCACTAAAAAGTATTTACTTATCATTCTACATACAAACATTTATGATTTTAAAAAACAAAAATCGATCAATATCTAGAGAAATGCTCTCACCATACCTCCATGCATCACTGCATGGCTTATGTGGTCCTCCAAGTGAATTGTAACAAGTAAATTTTTTTACTGGTGAAACTGCAGCAGGGACTCCTTAACCCGGGAGGACTGCCCTGCATCAGGCTTGGACTGAAAATGTGTAGAATGCTGCAAAACATGATCAAACAAACATTGACTAACATTATGTGATCTTTCCATTAATATAGTAGAATACAAAGATAATTTGTGACATACACAGATGCGGTTGCTCAACCAAGTTACTGTGCACGGGTACTGTGATCAGGGTATATCATTAAAGATGTCATATGTATGTGATTGTTTTGTGGTGGGGGGGGAGTGGCAGGTAAGTACATATGTGTGAGAGGGATGAAGTGTGTGTGTCTGAGTGGGTGAGATGAGTGTTATGTGTGTGGGGAATTCAGCATTCTTTTTATGTCGTAAGACATGTATGTATTTGTGTGTGTGTGTGTGTATATATATATATATATATATATATATATATATATATATATATATATATATATATATATATATATATATATATATATATATATATATATATATATATATATATATATATATATATATATATATATATATATATATATATATATATATATATATATATATATATATATATATATATATATATATATATATATATATATATATATATATATATATATATATATATATATATATATATATATATATATATATATATATATATATATATATATATATATACACACACACACACACATGTATGTATACACATAAAAACACTCATCTCATCTCACCCACCCACACACACACACACACACACATATATATAAATACTGTATATATGTATATCTGTTGCTAGCTAAGGAATAATGTACGTTCAAAACATACTAAGCGTGCCGAACTGTTGTTTATGCACATGCACACAATGACACACACATTTTTAAAGTTGTCAACGTTTTAAGTCTTGGTAAAGACCAAAGATATTTTTTTACTTACCAACATGGCAAACAACAACTTCTTTTTTAGCGGTTGGCAAACAATACGAATGATCTTCTTATCGATGCTTCTTCCTGTTTCAAAATGAACGAGAATGTGACGTATTTTGACATGGACGCGTGGTTTGGGACGTCACACTTGGATGTGGGCGGGGTTGGATGTTCACCGCAGGCTGCAGCGAGACGCTCCTCGAACCGTGGGGCTTGGTTCGTACGAATCACGGATCAACTACGATCCGTTTAACCACTAGGGCCAAGCCTCAGGCAGTGACCTCTTGTTTCATATTCTTTCATTAGCAGTGTTAAGGGTTAAATGCTCTAAAATGAGCTTACTATGTTTAGATTTAAACCCTATTGTTTAGCAGCTACGCATCTTGTGCCAAGTCTGAACAAACACAAAGGGAAATGAGGAAATATGGCTTTGTTGTCGGGCAACAAAAATGATACTCACTTCATGCCTTTCAGTAACACTAACCTGCATTTTTTTTTTGCTGGAAAATCTTCTATAAAGAGAACAACGGTAACATTTTATTTGTATACTGGTATTGTGATTAAACTTCAGGTTGTTGCTGCTCGGCTCTCTGTGACCTTGACTGACGTTTGGCAAGTGTGTTTCTTTCCTCATTAGTGACTGATCATTACTGTCATTGATTTTCTCACTTAAATCCTTTAGTCATTAAGGTGGATCCTCTTTGGCTCGTTACAGATTTATTTTTGGCTCTCATTTGTAGAACGTGTACTGTTTGAGTTCGAAAGTGTTAGTATTCGGTTTATTATGTGCCTGCTACTAGTGCTGTACAAAATCATAATGTTTGACTGTCTCTAGATTAATTCATTATTTTTTATTAAGAAATTACAAATTTTGATTAATAGTAGTTTTATGATTTTTTTTGGTATTATACTGAAGAATTTTTCCAGAAGATAATTAATTGTATAAATGTTAAGTGTATGTATATATGTATGTATATATATATATATATATATATATATATATATATATATAT